TTAACAATAATCTAGAGGATGCTAGTGATATACGGAAATTTTAACAATAATCTAGAGGATGCTAGTGATATACGGAAATTTTAACAATAATCTAGAGGATGCTAGTGATATACAGAAATTTTAACAATAATCTAGAGGATGCTAGTGATGTACAGAAATTTTAACAATAATCTAACCATTTTTCCCAAAAGCCTGAATATTTTCCGGGTTTAATCATTTTTGGATAATGAAAAACTTTTATTCACCGGTGTACTACTGTATTTATTCTGATTTTCCTTTTGAACAACGAGATAGAATTAATGAAAAAAAAAAATGTTAAAACTGAAAACTGGGTAACAAACGAAAATACAGAGTCGACGGTCTCTAAATGATTTAACTAATCACGGATGATATGAAGTTAATATTTGTCCAGAAATTGGCTCTTCAAGTTTTCTTAGCTAAGAAGTAAATATTGACTTGACTTGGCTCGCTGGCAAGGAATCATCAGATCCGACAAACCGTTTACTTTACTACACAGTATCCCCGCGAGAGGTAAAGCCAATTCAAACAACGTCTTCTGACGGACAAAGTAGGTCCCTAGGTGTTCAGTGCCAGTTGAAAATCAGAAGAACAAACACTGGGCGGACTTCTACTGTTTCATGTTCTCTAAAACGCTCTTCTGCCACTGGTGACGCGAAAGAAAAAATAATGTTCTTTTGTTGTCGGTAAACAATGTCTTATTTTTGAACCCTGACCCTAAACTCAATTTTTATCCATGTACATACACCAATCAGCTTCTCTTGTAACATCTTGTACTCTAACTAATCACACCTTTTTTTTTTTTAAGGTAAATGTTATAGTCAAACACTCTAAGAAAAACAAATGATAGTTCACGTACTCTTTATTTTACTGATTGTAAACTCAGTCATAACAGTATTTTATAAACAAGATTTATAAGCCTATTATAAAAACATTATTTAGAGAAAATTATAAAACCAACCCCAAACACTTATTCAATTATGTACATAAAATATAATAATAAATATATTGTAATTATCAAGACTAATTAAAAGAATAAAGTACAATTATAATAATATTATCACAATTATATTATACAAACCTAATTATTAAAGCTACCCTAAAATATGTTAGTACGATTTTTAAAGGACATCATAACAGTCTATATA